GGATTATGAGTTTAATGGTTTTGGATGATTATTTGATTGAGGCTATTTTTTGTTATTTTTTATTTTTTGTTGGAGAGTAAAAATTGAGTTTTTTTGGAAAAAGAATTGAAATTGTTTATTTGCAACAGGTATAAAATGGCCTATCACGGTCCATACCTTGTTAATTTGTACTGGCATTTTGGGAAGGAAATGTTAAGCGATTTTGTTTCATTTAAAGATCGTCCGAGTGGTTCATTTAAACAGTTGGTACAGATGATTAATGAAAAATGTCAGTTTGAAGAAGGTTGGACAATTCAGGAGATTACTATGATGATTAGCCAACCTGATGATTCGTGGAATCCCGCAATACTCAATAACGATAGTTTTGAATGGATTTATTACTTTCCTAGTATGTCCATGGTGTATTTACATTTATCGTTGCAGGCAAATACACCTGTTACACAGTTTGAGGATTTTACTCCTTGTTACGGGGGCGTGTTTGATGTCGAGGGTACATCGACTTCTCATGTACCTAATTTTGGAGAAGGAACATCGAGAGATTGGGCGGCGGATGAGGACGATGAAGATTTTATTCCCGGTGAAGATGACTTCACAGACGAGACCTCAGAAACCGAATCAGGTAGATCGGTTAATGAGGAGAGTGAACCCGAGTTCATCGAAGAAGAACACCCATTTCCTATTGGTGGTCGACACATATACCGCGAGATGGGTGAATGGGACCCGTCCAAGATAGATGTGAACGAGTATGCTATTCCACGGTGGAATGGCGACATTGAGACCATACGTTTGGGTACAGTTTTCCGGAGCAAGGAAGAAGCCCAAACGGGTCTAATGGCTTGGAACGTCGATAGGTTGCGGGAGGTTCGGTCAAAAGATTCAAATCAGAAGACATTCAAACTGGTCTGCAAATCGAATGCAGATGTGCCTTGTTTGTGGAAGGCTCGGGTGAATAAGTCCAGACGACGTGATGATTTGTGGGAAGTAACTGAATGGACTGACCAACACACTTGCATGCAACAGGTCGACAGAAATGACCACGGAAACGTGACCGCCCATATGATTGCGAATCTTATAATTAATAAGATTCAGAAGAAAGTGGAGTACAACGTTAACATGGTCCAGGCTGATGTGAAGCAGTGTTGGAAAGTCGACGTCAGTTACAAGAAGGCATGACACGGCAGAAAAAAAGCAATCGAGTGTGTGTACGGTAGTTGGGAGTCGAACTTCGCAGAACTCCCTCAGTAAGCAAAAATTAATTACAAATATACGTGTTTTTTGTCTGTCGGTATGTTTATTTATTTATGAAATTGTTTTGTATTGTACAGATATTTTGTCGCGCTTCAAAGAGTGAATCCCAACACAGCTGTAGATTGGGAATTTCAGGGTGGTGATGTGGCGCGACACGTTCCAGACAGAGAATTTAAATATGTGTTCTGGGCGTTTGGTCCCGCGATTCGAACCTTCGAAATGTGCCCGCCGGTTATTAGCGTTGATGGCACACATTTATGTGGACATTACAAAAGGAAATTGCTCGTGGTCGTAGCACAGACTGCGAATAAGCGGCTATTGCCAGTCGCGTATGCGCTTGTCGACGAAGAAAGCACGGGCAGTCGGTCATTTTTTCTTAGGAATCTGCGGCGATATGTTGTATTCGACAAACAGATATGCGTTCTTTCTGACAGGGATGTGGGTCTACGCAGTGCGATTGAATCATTACCGGATTGGCAAGAACCCGCTGCGTATCACCGGATTTGCCTTCGACACCTTCGAAGCAACGTGGTGACCCGGAGTAAGAAAATCCGGGATTGGTGTTGGGAGTTGGGTTCGCAGTTGTCAAAGCAAAAGTTTCGACAGACAAAACAGCGACTTCAAGAATTTAATTCCGACGCATACAATTATCTTTTCAACATTCCTTTGAACCAGTGGACCCTGTATCGAGATGAAAAACGTAGATGGGGCACTTTGACAACGAATATGTCGGAGAGTTACAACAATGTCCTGAAAGGGGTTAGGTTCCTGCCGTGCAGAGCTTTGGTAGAGGCCACATTCAAAAAACTCTGGATTTGTTTCGACAAGAACAAAACAAGTCCAGCAGATGCAGGAGTCCCATTGCTCATTTGCACTATGTCGCATTTTTGCAGTTGGAGCAAACTGCCGCATCTCACGAGGTGGAATGTACGGAGTACGACAGATCGATGTAAGCGGTGACAACTGGTTTACGTGCTAGTGGAAGAGGGCAAAACAAGTAAGTATATGTTTTTTTTTTATTTGTTGTTCATTCATTTTATTTTATTTTTTTTATTTTGTATATATATAAATAAATAAATGTTGAAATACAGGTATAAAGTTGATTACCCCGGGAAACGTTGTAGTTGTCGGAAGTGGCAGACGCATAGAAAACCGTGTTCTCATGCGATAGCCATCTGTCGTAGAATTGCGGGTGACCCAAAGCTGTTGTACGATGATCACTTCTGGACGTCGACCTGGGTAGCTCAGTTTACTAATTGGAGTTTTACTCCGATTGGTAATCCGGATCCATGGCCGCCGGTGGGATGGAATTTGATTCCACACTGGGAGAGGATCATCTTGAAGCCTGGACCCGGTCGCAAGCAAACGAGACGCTACCGCATGCAAATGGATTGTCGGGCACGACGCAGAAATGAGAGGGGGCATTGTACTAGATGCTGTGATCCAGAACATGTTATGGATGAGTGTCCGTCCTCACATCCTCGCAGCGATAGGTCTAGACTTCGTGATGTGTGAGAAGATTAGATTTTTTATTGTTTATTTGAATTTGTTTGGATTATTTATTTGGATTTGGTTGGATTATTTATTTTGTTTTGTTTGTATGATTTATTTGGACTTGGTTTGATGATATTTAAGGTAGATTGGTTGAGTTGTTCGTGTAATTTTGGTTTAGTTGGTTGTTTTGAATATTTAAAACAGGTGCGTTCGAGTCGTGTGATCATCACAAAGTTTTTTATTTTTTTTTCCCAGTTTAAACGTATTTACAAAATACGTTCTATAAATAATTCAGTGGAAAACGTATAATGAGAATACGTTTTACAAATAAATCATTATAAAAAGTATTCTGAGAATACGTTTCTTAAAAAAGAAAAAAAATGGTCGAGGCTCCCAGATTGGGGACTCGAACCCGGGTCAATGGGTGAGTCCGGTTTCTCTGGGCGCACCTCGAACCATTGTGCCGGCAGACACTTTCCGATTATTTTTAAACAAATTATATACATATACATAAAAATATAATATAGATTAAAGAATAAACTATAATTTATACTATATTTTATATTATATTACCTACTGATATAACCATACTATCATAGAGCGGTTTATGTTGTCCCGGCTCGGACATTGTCGAGTCGACTTACCCGAAGTCGACTCCACCCACATATCTCCTCGTGATAATACATTCGTTCGAAGGTCAGGATGCTTTTCTTAGTCGACTTCTACCATGTCGACTAGCCTAAGTCGATTCCGTCTGGAAGGATGAACAAGTGTATTAGGATCTACTAGCGATCGGGGAATGACCCAGCCGGCTCGAATACAAAGATATCTCGAAGTCGACTGAAGTAGTCTCGGGGTTCAGAGATCCCTGACGACTCCTATACACTTCAACATATCAGAGGGAAGCTATTAAAGGATAAGGAAGAATCTAGGTGCTGATTAGGAAGTGGACAGAATATGAACCGACCAGGGTATTTTGGACATTTCCAGTAAGTCGGTCAGGGCATTTTGGAGACTTCAGGTAGATGTTTTACTTCTATATAAAGGAGCTGAGGTAACTCCAAAACCCTAACTCCCATTCATTCTACATTCTTCTCCATTACTGTTGCTGCTCTCTCAGAGCAGCTCTCTTCATCTCTTTCACATACTGACTTGAGCGTCGGAGGCTCTACGCCGGAAACTCCTCCGGCATTGAGTTCTTGCAGGTGTTCTCGCGGTTCAGCAACGGTTTGGAGGCTATCGAGTCAAATCTGAGCTCATTCCCATCGGTTCATTCCAGATCTGGGCGGTTTCTCATCGGCTCACTCCAGATCTGAAAGGAGACCCATCATTTTGGCGCCGTCTGTGGGAAGTTCTTGAAGGAATTAAGAGCTTTACACCTAGCTTTGATCTGTCTCCGATGGCTGAGAAGGAAGGACTGCAGAAAAACTTGAATGAAGATTTCAGGGCAACATGGACTGACAAGCGACCTCCGCCGATTCCCAGCCTCAGACCACCGCTCCAAGTGTTTGGTTTCCCACCGTTTGGGGCACACGCGCCGTCAGGCGGGCGTATGGGGGAGGAGACGCCTATTACTCCACCCGGAGTCAAGATCCCGGTTCTTACCCAAGGGGAGGCCAGTTACGTGAAGGACACGAGTGGAGAAGCGGATGGTCACGCATCGACCGAAACATCTCTGAGATTGGGGAGGCAGCCTGGGCGACTTGATCAGGAGACAAGGCCACCACCCCAAGTCGAGGAGCAAACACTGACCATGATGAGAAGCGAGATGCAGAGGATGATTGCCGAAGCTGTAGCGGCCCAAATCAAGCAGACACAAGTCAAGCAGCCTAGGGTCGAACAACCCAGGATCGAGCAAGCTAGGGTCGAGCAGCCTCAAAATGAACAACAACCCTCTAAACGCGAACAACAAGCACAGTCGCACGAAAGGCAGAACAGGAGGGCAGATGAGGAGGAGTCCTCTGTCAGGACCGTTAATCCATAAGCAAGAAATGACACCCTGGAGCAGTTGCTAGCTCAGGTGCAAGACTTGCATGTTCGAGTGGAAGGGAGGAAAACAGGAAGTTCGAGAGGACACCCTTCTTCACAGCATATTCTAGACGCCGACTTGCCTCAAGGGTTCAGAGAGCTCAACATCTGGTATGATGGGTCCACTGATCCCTCTCGAAATCTAAGGAGTTTTGAAAACATGGCAGTACTGCACCGCTACAATGATCCCGTTCAATGTCGAGCGTTCCTGACGACTCTAAGAGGACCAGCGCAGGACTGGTTTCATCAATTGCCCCCAGGAGCCGTCAGGGACTTTGACGGATTTAGCTCAAGTTTTCTAAACCAATTCGCAAGTGTAAAGGCCCAAGAAAAGTCTTACCTTACTCTGATAGGTATGCAATAGAAAGAAGGAGAATCATTGAGGGATTATGTGGCGAGATACACACGGGCGTGCGTCGACGTTCCCTCGGCCACTGAGGAAATCAAGTCGGGAGGACTCACTAGAGGACTACTCCCGGGATTATGCAGAAACTCCTTAGCAAAGCGACTCGGGAGGACGTTCGATGAGGGTTTAGGAAGGTGCGCCAAATACATGAATGTCGAGGAAGCCGAAGCCGACTTTTTGCAAGCAGCTAAAGCAAAAACTGAATCTCTGGACGAGAAGAAGGATAAAAAACCAATCACGACGGTTGAAAGGAAAGGATCCCCGAAGTCAGAGAGGGAGGGACGATCAAGGGGATGGAGGACAACTCAATATACCCCCTGTTGGCTTCGAATGCAAGGATATTGGAGGTAATGGAGAAAGAGATCCGCGAAAGTGTTGTCAGGTGGCCACGGACGAGAAAGGATGGACCGACAAAACCCAAAAGCGGTCTGTATTGTCGATTCCACAAGGATTACGGGCATAATACTGACGAATGTTGGCATCTAAAAAATGAGATCGAGAGACTAATCAAAGCGGGCCATCTGAAAGAGTTCATTTATAAGGATCGAGAGCGAACCAGTCGGCGGAGGGAGAGGAGCAAGAGCCCTCGTAAGAGAGCAAGGACACCCGACAAGGAGGAACTCCCTCAGAAAAGAGGAATAATTCATATGATATTCGGAGGGCCGACTGATGGGGATTCAAATCGAGCAAGAAAGGCGTATGCTCGAGGCCGCCACGGGAAAATTGAAGTGCAGCAGGTTGAGGAAAACGGTTCGGTGATGAATTTCAGGCCAGCAGACGTGGGAGAGGTCGAAAGGCCCCATAATGATTCTCTAATGATCACTGCCCAAATATCAGGTTATGAAGTGCAGAGGATCTTTGTCGACACGGGAAGTTCAGTGAATGTGATCTTTTACAATTGCCTCAAACGGATGGAGCTCGACATCGAGCTCACGCCCCTAAACACCTCGTTTTTTGGGTTTAATGGCTCCGAAGTCGCACCCTAGGGGAAACCGCGCTCGCCGTCGTCCTTGGGGAGGGGGACTTGAGGAAAGTAAAGATGGTGCGATTTGTTGTAGTTGACGTCGAGTCGGTTTATAATGTGATTCTGGGAAGGCTACGCTCAACGTATTCCAAGCAGTAGTGTCGACCTACCACATGAAGTTAAAGTTTCCCGTTGGAGATAGAGTAGGAGAGGCCCGAGGGGACCAGAAGCTATCAAGAACTTGTTACCAGATAGCTGTGAAAACAAACCAACGAACAGAAGTTGAGGGAAAGAAGCCGGCGATGAGCGAGAAAAGGCCAAGAAATAGTGATCTCGAACCACACGGAGAGCTAATGGAGATACAAATCGGAGAAACGAAGGAACAGACCACTAAGGTCGGGAAAGATCTGAAAGACGAGATGCGAAACCAACTCATCACACTACTAAAGGAGTTCAGGGATGTCTTCGCCTTCACCCCTGAGGAGTTGAAGGGGATCGACCCCACTATTATGGAGCATAAACTCAACGTCGACCCCCTCAGAAAGCCAGTAAAGCAACGGCTTAGACGCCATGGTGAAGAAATCGACAAAGCAATTGAAATCGAGGTGGATAAGTTGCTGCGAGCAGGACATGTCAAAGAGATCCAATTTCCCGAGTGGATATCCAACACCGTGATGGTGAGAAAGGCATTAAACAAATGGCGCATATGCATCGACTTCCGTGACTTAAACTTGGCCTGCCCAAAAGATCATTATCCCTTACCACGAATTGATCAGCTCGTCGACTCTACGACTGGTTGCGAATTACTGAGTATGATGGATGCATCTCAGGGATACCACCAGATTCCATTGTGCCCAGAGGATCAGAGTAAGGTGAGTTTCGTGACGAGTAAAGGGACGTACTGCTATGTCGTCATGTCCTTTGGGCTTAAGAATGCTGGAGCAACCTACCAATGGTTGATGGATCGAATGTTCAAATCTCAGATTGGTCAAAATATCGAGGTATATGTGGACGATATCTTGGTAAAGAGTAAGGCCTCAACCTCACACCCAAATGA